TAGCCAATCATTGCTAATAGAATGAAATTCATCAACTATTACAATAATTTTTGCTCTAAAAAGGGTCCTTGGTGTTCTTGCAGACCTGTTATTAGCCAAACTAGGTAACCTCATCATGGGGCTTGCTCCTCAATTTATATTCTAATGTTGGTCAATGTTGGTGGTGGTGGTCTTAGAGGTTCTTTAATTGACTGTTGGCTTATTTGGTTGATCCTTGATTGGGGTATTTTCACTTGATTGTTGGTTTTATATCAATCTTGGAAGTAATTATGCTCATCTGAGTGCTGATTGCTGTTGGGGAAGAGTTTTGGTCTTTCTGTTCCTTTTTTGGCTTGTTGACCATCTCTTTTCCATAATATGTATATATTGTTTATGTTTATGTGTCTATTGATGGCTAATATGTCAGAATGCCGGGCTTCTAGGAAGTTTTTGGACTTGACTTGGACTAGGATGATCACAGTTTCCCACTTGAAATTATGTTTAAGTTTGTCCATATGTTATGAAGTTAAAGAGTTTTCATCATGTCTTCTGACTGCTAGTTGGTGTTCAAAGATACATTCTGCCAGTCTTCTGCCTGTTTGTCCTACATAGTGGCTGTTGCAGACATTACACTGTATGTTGTAGAGCAGCAGTCTCCAACCTTTCCAACTTGGTGGACCGGTAGAGGGAAGAGGGGATGTTTCGTGCACACATGTGCAGCTCCATGTATGCCAGTGGTGAGTATGTGTGCTCACCACTCACACAAATAGAATTTTGCATGGAAGTGCAAGCACCCACCACTTGCGGAAGTGCAGCTGCATGTGAGCGCTCGCCTGCCACTTGTGCAAGTAGAGCTGTGCCCGCATGCTCACCCCCCCCCACTTGCAAAGTTTTGTTCCAAATGGGCTGTGGCCTGGCAATGGACTGAGGCCTCAGGTTTGGGGACCCCTGTTGTAAATGACTTGTTTTTTCTTCTTGGGGCTGCTTGATTTACTTAATATGTTTTGACGGGATTTAGTTTGCTGGTGTGCTACACTGATTCCATATGGTTGTAGTAGTTGGTTGGTAGTTTCTGAGATGTTCTTGATATAGGGCAGTGTTATTCTTTTTAGGACTGTGTTGGTTATGCTGTATTGGTTGTGTAGTCAGGGACTTTTTGATAAATTTGTGTGGATACCTACTCTGTTGGAATGTGTTGTATACCTGCTCTGTTTCCTTGTTCTGCTGTACAGTGCTGAAGTGAGTTTCTGATCATCTAAATAAAGTTTTTACACACAGCTTTACTTGTGGGAGGTTGGGTTGTCGCTTTGGTACTGGAATATTTCAGTTGGTATGGGAGGTTCGTGTTTCACATACTTGTGTTTCTAGTTTATCATTATGGTTTCTGCTGATCGGGATGTCCAGGAAGGGTGGTGAGTTGTTTTCTTATTCTCTGGTAAACAGTATTCCTTTTAAGATGTTGGTGGTGATTCTGTGGATGTTCTCTAATTTGTACATTTTTTATTATAGTGAAGGTGTCGTCTACATATCTGATTTATATTTTAGGTTGCATTTGTGGAAGTGCTATGGCTTCTAGATATTGCATAATGCTTCCAGTATAACTCCTGAAAGCAGTGAGCCCACAGGTGTACCTTTAATTTGTTGGTAAATTTATTCAACAAATTGGAAGTATGTAATTAGGCAGAGGTTTATGAAATCCATAATCCTGGATGTTTCAATCTTGAATTTGGTTAAGTCAGATGTGTTGTGGAGCAATATGCTCATACATTCTTTAATTAAGAATTCTTTTACTTTGACTAATTTCAGATCTATGGATATGTTTACTCTGTAAACCTAAACATCCTTTTCTTAACCTCTGCTTTTTATATTCTGTTAATATTTTCTTATCTTAGTTACACCCGAGTGTCTTATTAGCCAAAATTTCTTTATCTAAAATAAATGGCATTTTATCTTTCTATACATGTTATTCTATACATAATATAATATAAAATATCAATTTTCTTTTACCACACAAGATATATTCATTTGTTTAATTAAGAACCAACTACTGATAGGAACCAGAATTACTATCTTTTTATACATAAGATATATCTCTGGCTTTCCTAATTGCAAGCACCTTCAAAAACTCCTACCACTCCAGGCAGAAAATGGGAAGGGTTAGGGAACTTTTTAGGATAGCATTTTCATGCTTTTCCTCTTATCTCCACAAGAGGAAAAAAAAAACTCAAAGAGAAAAAGGAAGTAGAAAATGTTATAAGTTATAGCTAGAAAGATAAATTCCCTAGTGTTATGAATCTAAGTTAATTAAAAATGTAACAACTTTCTAAATATAAATCTTATTAACAGTAATTAATGAAATATTTAACTAGTAATCCTTTACAAATAATACATCTAAAAATCAAACTACCCATAAGATATTGTGATTGTTTTAATATTCTATTGTACATATGCAACCTATTTTAATCCCTGCATATGGGTAATTATTTTAAAACTGTCTTTAAGAATAAAACTTTCCATTTTAAAACTTGTGATTCAAAAATTAAAACAATAAAAATCAAGATAACCTCAAGTTCCTGAACACCTGCAATAAAAAAAAAAATTGGAACTCCCCCCCCCAGAATAGCTTTAATTCAGCTACAGTATTATGATTATAACACCCTTAGCAACACATTATAGATAAATCTGTTTAAAACTTTGTGAAGAGTCAGAGAATTTAGCAAATCCATATAATGGAGTGATTTTAAAAATTCAAGATAACTTTTTTACATGGTGTTGTGCCCCCCCCCCAGACCATAATTAAAGCTGAAATAGAATTATAAATGCACTTCTTACAGCTACCATAGGTTGTTGTGAATTTTTATGATTCTTAAAAGGGATACACACAGATTGCAAGCATAAACACCTATAAAGCTCCACATTTACAACTTTTTGAAAACTTGGATCTATGAAATGCATTTTTACACAGGATACCCACTAAAACCAAGCGCATGTCTTAATTCACAGTCATGAAATTGCATCTTTAAAAATTAATCTGAAACTTGAATGTAACTAAATTATACTATACAGGGATCTTCTGGTGGATTTACTAATAACACCAACAAATCCCAAATGTGTCTCTCGGAATTTCAGTGTAAATGCCAAGACTCAAGATATCTCAAATTTTAAAGGAAACATCCACAAACCACTATGGTTTTGATGCATTGCAAGGAATATATGTGATGTGTGATTGATGTGGTTTGCAAGGAATCAAAATTTAGGTTCATATTTTTACACTGGGTTATACTATAAAGGAACATTTTTGTATTATGATGATTCATTATAAATACATCTTTGGCTAAAGAGCTGACATTCCTTGGACTTTAAAGTTCCTGTGGAAAAAAATATAAAGCTTTGTTGTGTGGATATATACTGTATTATGCATTTTTTGTGCAATGGATGCTAAATCACAGAATCCATTATATTTATACCCATGTGTAGAAATATGTATGTTTGCCTAATAAACTTGTGGGGAGTATTTCCAAAAGTAAATTAGGATTCCATTATTTAATATCATAAAAATACAGATCTGAATTTTTAAAGACAAATGGGATATATTCATCATTACTTTGGGAAGGATACCACTAAACACCTAATTAAAATCATTTTAACCTTCCTGGATCTAACTACCGAGAACAATAAAAATACCAAAAATATTGGTCATTTCAGTGTTGCTAAGACTGGAAGAAGGTAAGTGCTACAGTACTTTCATCTCTGGAAGATTATAATAAACTTAAATGGAAATATTAAAATGGTTGCACAATCAAGAACTCTTTTAAGCTGAGGAGTAATAAAGAAACACTCCCATTGCTTGGATTTCAATAAGGCAGCCACGAGCCAACAAACATGAAAACCAATTTAAGTTCTAAGCAACAGGCTAGAAACAGGGAGACTGCGAGTTCTAGTCCAGCCTAAGGTATGAACTTTAGGTCAGTCACTCTTTCACAATCCAATTCATCTCACCGGGTTGTTGTTGCTATGGGGAAAATAGGACGAAGAGAGTATTAGTCTGGAGTTATTTAGAAAGACAGGATAAAAATGAACCAAGATGTACCTCAGCAGAAGTGAGGGTGGGAGTGAGGGAGGGAAGAACCAACCACGTAAAATTATTATTTAACAGACCGTGATGTTAACAGCACTATGAAGGCTACTACCAATGTCTTAATAAAATAAGCAAACACCTTCATGGGATTAAAAACGAATGCGAGTATGAGAAAAGCTATGGTCCAAAGAATTCCCCCCCCCCCGCCTCCACCCCCGCCTTCGTTTAAAAGGCAGCTCTCATCCACTCTCGAAGCTCTGGGTGTGGCAAAGCCTCGGCCGCTCACCTCGGGGCGGGGTCTGGGCAACTTTCCATAAGCGTTGGCTTAGGAGGCGCGCAGGTCGTGTTTTCGGGGGGAAGGGTGGGAGTTTTGTGGGGTTGTTACTTTAAAACGGGGAACACCCGTCTTAGTTATTATTAGCGGGAAAGGCTTTGCTCTGACGTGCGGTAAAATGGTAAGTTAAAGGAGGCCGTCGTATTCCATTCAAGCAAAGATTGGCTTTGCTTGAATGCAAACAACTCTTGTTGGGTTTTTAAACAAACGGTTTAAAGGTCCGGGGGAAAAAATAGAGTAAACGAGCGAAGTTTGGCATACGGGATACCTAGAGCAAAAGGAAGGGTTTTGTAAAACCAAACTTAAAAGGCCACTTGCCCAGAGAGATTTTGATGCAGATTGCTCAAGTGGACGGGACTGAAGGCCTAGGTCAAGCCCAGGCGTTGGGAAGAAGGGGGCAAGAAAAAGGCGGGAAGTGGCTGCTCTCGCCGTCCTTCGAAGTGGAGGCGTGCAAAGGATGTGTGGAGTTGGTAAGCTACGTCGAGCGGCACAGGAAGGCCAAACGAAAACTAGGCGAAGATGCTCCTGAGGCGCGATCACCATTTTGTCGCCGCGTGGGAGTCAACGATCGATTTATGCTCGCCACGAGTCGCTTCGGCTGATCGCGCTAAACCACAGTTGTAAAAAACCTCTTTCCGTCCCCCGCCCTCCTGCCTGGGGGCATTTTATGGAGGGAGAGCGCACCCCTAATTCTCGTTAATAGATTTTATGGGCGTGAAATTCTTAACTGGGTTAACGAAAACCCTATCTATAAATAAGTAATTTCAGAGATATGACTAGACCCTTTTGGTTTCAGTGCGATTTTCTCTAAGATAAACGTAGATCGGATGATAGCCAGTATTAAGGTATCAGACTTCAATTCTGCCTGCACTTCTTTCAAAGTAAGTCTTCAGAATAGGTGATCTCGGACGTTGAATCCGCCAATAGTGTTGCAAATTTGGAGTGGAAAAATAACGGCCGCCTTTTCTTTTTACCACGTTAACTGCAATCTGAAAAGGCTCAATCCCAAAAAGGATTAACAATTTAAGAGTTCAACTTCTCCATTGAGTTTTTTTCTTGAGCTTGATATATTTAAGCATGTATCAAGTCATCCATATTTAATAAGGATGTTTAAAAGTTTTGTGTTTACTTTAATGTGATCTGAGAATGTATCAGAAACCCAATCCAAATAATCCAAGATTAATTTATTTTGAACTGCAATTCATATAACCTTTATAAAGCATAGGCGAAGTACTGTAGTTCAGCTACACTTTAAGAGGGGCTTCCGATCAGCTGATTGGTAGATTTTTTCATAAAACTTTGCTGGGTTCTTATTTGCAAATAGTTTAAAAGCATTCATATAAAGGATTGCTATAGTAAATTTAATTCCAGTGACCTTGGTTAAAAGGACCAAATTCCTGCTTCAATTCAAGATATCCTTGGAAGCTGCTGAATTGTTGCAACTGAGCAGTTTATCTTGAAACCGAAAATACTCCAATAATTTTAGAGAAATGTAAAACAAGGATCCTCTACTTTGGACCAGTAGAATATATGCTTGGTTACCTTTTGTATTCTATCATTATTTGTGTCTCGTATTTTATATACACGACGAATATTTTCTAGATGTAATAGTATTTAAGGAGGAGGATTTTTTTAAAAAACATCAATTTTGTTTTGTAGTCTGCTTCAAATCAGGACTCTCAAAACACAAATATTCCACGGGAAGAAAGCTCTCAGTTACCTGCTACCAGCCAAGGATATGTTCTGCCTGAAGGGAAAATCATGCCAAATACCATTTTTGTGGGTGGAATAGATATAAGGGTATGTATTTATTTCATAATAGGATTCAGTTTCTTATGTCTTATGCTTGTACAAAAATTTTTGAGAAGTTGAATTCTGCACAATGAAGATTGCAATCCCAAATGAAAATAAACCCATCATTGATATCTTCTAAGAATTGTAAAAAGAAGTATTGGATCCAAAGTTTTCAGTGGAAGTTTCATATGTTCTCTTTTAAAATGTTTTAAGACTATGTTGGCAGTACTGCTGTTTAATAAATAATTTGATAGTTATTTGGTATACTTTTTAAAAAGTTAACAGTATTTTACTACAGGGCCTTTCTGTAGTATTACCTTCAAATGTTTAGTATGCCTTTATATAATTTATCCCTAGATGGATGAGACAGAAATTCAGGGCTTTTTTACACGATATGGCACAGTTAAAGAAGTGAAAATAATCACTGACAGAACTGGTGTATCTAAAGGGTAAGTTGGTTGGTTTGAATGGCATTGATAAATAATTGTGACGCTGTTAAGTAGCTACAGTACTTAGATCAAACACTACTAGTATTCAAAGATTAACTGGTAATGAAGTGTATTAATGAATAGAATTAAAAGTTTGTAAACTGAACTGCAAGTTTCAGGCATAAACTTAAATTATTCAGTGGTGCTCTTAGTTTTAATTAGCCATTCCTTGGTTGCTGTTATGGTTAATTGTAATGTTACTTTATTGTGCATTATTTTAATATTTATTGTAGAATCAAACGGTAGGATATCAGTTTTTTATAGATATAATAAATATTTATTATAAATATATAATAAATAATAGATAATATCACCAGAAACAGAACCACAGGTCAAGTTAAAAGTTTTACCTTCAATCTCCTTTCTATTAAAAATAGCCATTGGTCTATCTAGTTTGAGAAGTGCATAAGATTTTCCTTGAAGATGGAGGGATATAAATATTCTCATTAATTTGATCCCTTTATCTCTGTGATACTTGGTTTTATACTTTTCTGGATGCAACCACTTTAATGCAAAATATTGCATTACATAGTGGGATATTAATTCAAATGGAATGTTGATATACCATACTTTTGATTTATCTTTGTAGATATGGATTTGTATCATTTTTGGACAACGTAGATGTACAGAAAATAGTAGAAGTAAGTGGTTCATTTGGAGTCTACATGGAATAATTTAGAAACCTTGTATTGGTTTCTTTTTTTGGAATGGAAATCATAAGAAAAATTTTTAGATAAGAGATTTGATCAGACTGTTGATACTTAGAATCTGCTTACAATTTGGAATATAGATGGCCTTTTTATACAACTTTTATTGCCAAATAATACTCTCATGTCCAAACAAAATAGTCATCAGACCAAGTACTTGTATTATTGCATTAACTTGGTTTGATTATAAAAATAATAAGATAAGTTTATTCAATGGAGAATGAATTATTGCTCTAAATAGCTTTCAACTGGTGGATATAATTTATTACAACCTTATATGAATTCATTTAGTATAGCCTATATTTTAATCCAAATTCATTTCTGAACAAGAGAGATGTCAAGTCTGAATTAAACCATAACTAGTGTGCAATCAATACAAATTCATCAAAATAACTCTTGTTAGCATGGAAGGTAACATGATCGGTGCTAGTAGGGAGTTCCAGGTTTAAAGGGCATCCTTCATTTTAACCCTGAGCTACAAATATTCTCTTCTATTGGTCTTTTTCAGTATCTTAATACTATCCAATAATAAAATGTATCTTTTTCTTTGGAAAGGACACAAACTGCAGTTTTATCTGATCATTGCCCACTGATGAGGAAAATTTGTGCATTGCACAATTGCAATTTGTGCATTGAAGATTTTATCATTATAGCTTTGTCTAAAAATAAAATATTTTTTGCCAATGGAAGTTAAATTAATAAAAATTTTAAAAGTGCTACCTTCCCAACCATTTCTGAAGTGTGGCATTCAGTTAATAGTACTTGGAATTAAGAAATGATTGGACTCACTATTTTGATCAGCTTTTCAAGGTGAAAAAATGAAACGGATCAAAAAAACTGAATAAATTTCCTTATGTTGTGACCTAGGCTTACTGAGTCATTACAAGACACAATTAGTCCCAAACAAACCTATTTTATTGTAACAGCTGACAATTACCTTCATTCCCAGCTGAGTCCCAATTAGTTGCAAAACAAGTCCTTTGGAAGGAGTCCTTTGGGATAATAACCAACCTTTATCTTCTTTGACACCCTGCCAAAGGCCTTACTTGGCAAAGCCCCATGAAGTTCAGAAACAAACGAGATGCCAACTGGAAACAGTTTGCCAAATTGCTTTCCTGCAAAAGGCCCAAGTGTTGTTTCTCTTTTAAGCCTTATGGGAGGTGCCAATCATCTCCTGGCCTTACTCCCAAATTGTCCCTTTTGTTTAGCTGCTCTTGCCTTCTGGCAGCTCTGCGCATGTGTGCACTAGGAACAGGCTCCTCCTGTTCCTCTGCCTCTTTGCTGTCCGATTCTGGGGCTCGGGAGTCTGCGCATCACTCCCAGATGGCCCTGGCCCATCTCTGCCTCTGACGCAGAGCCCTCGTCAGGGCCTTTCCCAGATTCCAGGCCCATGTTCCACCCCAGCCTCCTCACTGTCTGACTCTGCTGCCAGCTCCTCAGGCTGCTGGCAGACCACAACACCTTATATTGGATTCTGGCATTCTTTATGCAGTCCAAGTTGCAAAATTAGAATTATTTTTACCAGAAAAAATGCAAGTGAAGATTAATTGGGTTTTGAGGTGTCTGCCAGACTATCTTCAAGGTTATCTTATTTAAAATTCTTTAAAGTACAGTCTTTTCCTATTTGTGTTTCAATCCCCTACTCTGGGTGTCAGCAACTTACAGCTCCAGAGCCGCATGGGGCTTTTTGACCCCTCCTGCGGTTCCCTGCCGACCTGGTTGCACAACCTTCTCTCCGTCCTGAGAAGGCGTGAGCCCCTCTGCAGAGCTGCGTGGCTGAAGCACCCCTAGCGTTTTCTCAGTACTGCTCGTGACTGGCTGCTCTTTGTGATTCTGCGTCCTTTGCGGGCAGCTCAGCCATGTGTTGGCCCAGGAAGGAGGGGAATGGGGAGGAGCAGCCGCCACCACCAAATACAGGGAGGGAAGAGTTCTGGCTTTCCTGCGCGGCCGGCTACTCATACTCACCTTGAGTGCGCAGTGGCAGCAGCCGGAAGAGTTGTTGCCATTGCTGTGATCCCAGCCCAGGAGGATATCCCGCTTGTGCGCACCCACACGCGCAAGATGAGAGAGAAAAGGGGAGAAAAAGAGAGAAATGAAAAATGAAGGGAGTGAAAGAGAGGAAAGAGAAACAAATGAGAGAGACAGTAGAGGAAGAGAGAAATGAGAGAGCTGGAGGGAGAGATTGAGAGGGGGAAAGGAAGCAAATGAGAAGGGAGAGGAAAAAAGAGGGAGAGAAAACAAAGAAGAGAAAGAAATGAGAAAATAATGGAAGAAAAGAATGAGAGCGAGGAAAAAGAAAAGAGAAATGAGCTGGAGGGAGAGGGAAACGTGAGAGAAAGGAAGAAAAAGGAAGGGAGAGGAAAAGGAGACATGGGAGTGGGGTGGAGGAGAGAGAGATGCATTTCCCACAGAAAACACCTGGAGCCACAAAAGGTGGGTAGGTGTGGCTGGGAGGTCATGTGACTGGGTGGGAGTGATGTTGAGTTGGCCACACCCACCCAGGTTTTGTGGCTCCTGGTGTTTTTGTGGGAATCTGGTTCAAATGGCTCTTGGAGTGTTTAAGGTTGCAGACCCCTGCCTATTCAAAGACTTCAATTTCATCTGTAATCCAAGTCTTCCCTCTGTTCTATAGTTAATTTTAACATCGATAGAATTTAATTCTGTAGTGTCTTGAAAATTCCATGGGGCATTTAGCAGTCCTTTCATCTGAAGACTTGGCCACATAATAGATTTTACATTTCTGCAAAAGCCGAGTCCTAGAAATTTTCTTTTCTGTTCAATTAGTTCTATTCAATTAGTCCATGATGCTCTTAATATATGTAATTCAGCCTAACAAAAACCAGATGGGCTGCGTACATTGCTGTATATAAATTATGTACAGAGATAGTCATAAAATGCATGGGGGCTTTTGATTAGAAGTTTAGAATAATTATTTAAATTCCTAAGATTGAAAAAAGTTTGAGCAGAGAGACAGCTGGGCAGTACAATGATACTACCAATCTGATGCTTTTGACATGTCAGTGAATATATGTGCATATGTCAGGCATGCTATCAGTACAAGGATGGACTTATGATTGATCACAATGACCCCATTTCCTCACTAATCATGCCTCTTATGGTAAAAAAATGATGTGGAATTGTCACTAAGTGAATTTTTATTATTTTTTATATATTGCATTTAGAAATAGTCCATTTCCCACATAGAACAATTCTGGACAGTGAACAAATAAATAAACATAAAAGCTATATATAAATATATTAAAAACAGTTAAACACAAGAATAAAATAAATTAAAAATCTAGAATTAAAAAATGCAGAAGAGGCTTCAGTGAATAGCAGGGTCAGGTCTCCATGTATTTCTGAAAGGTCAGGGGAGTGGGGGCCTGCTTCAGGTAGTTTTTATAATTACCGCTAGCTCTTCTGGTCACTGATATTAAATGATTGCTTTTTTATTCAAAGGATTTCCAGTATGTTTGATTGATTATGTGCCATCAAGTCATAGTTGACTTATTTGTCAATGGAATAATAAGCTAGATACAAAAGATTTTGTTCCTCTTTTCTTCTCTATATTGACTTGTTCAATGCCATTAATTTTTCTTGCTCTGCTAGTAACAGGTGAAGTACTGCAGCTCTTCTTGTCTTCTCATTCTTGATCTTAGTTGTCTCAAAAATTTAATACGGCTGGTGATAGTTCATATTATTAACTTGAAAGAAAATTCTCTGGTGGTCTTCATATTTGCCAGTATGGAATTCCAGTCACCTATGATAGTTACAGACTATAAGTTACATTAATCAAAACTTTGATATTATTTAGTCAGTTGAGAAAAGTACATGAATCAAAACCTTTAAATTACTCTTTTATAGTCACAAATAAACTTTCATGGGAAGAAGCTCAAATTGGGACCTGCAATAAGGAAACACCCAAACTTATGTGAGTATTATTGAATTTGACAGGCTGCATAAAGAAAAGCCTCTTGATATAGCGAACAGTTTTGTTTCTAGATAAATAGAAGGATGGCAAAAACACTTGGAGGTACACACATACTACATTGATATTTATTACTATTCTACTATCAGTTACTTTCTTTTGCAATATGAAAACCACTGTCATTGTACAGTAAGTCTTGTCAGTGGTGTAATTCAGGAGCATACGGATAACTACTAATTTTATGTGGAGGAATGAAATATATTTGAATATTGAAATATTTTTTTAGGTAGAAGAAATTTTGAAGATATAACTACTTTTTCTTATCCCACAAGGTGCCTATCATGTGCCACCCAGGCCAATGCTTATTAATTCCCCTACACCTCAGTTCCATAGTGTTTGGAGTAACCAGGAAACATATATGCAGTCTCCAGCTGTGATGAGTCCTGTCACACAATATGTTCAGGTAAGGTTTTTAGAATGAAATTTAAGTCATTTAATTACATTTCAGAGAAAGTAAAATTGTACAACTAGATTAAAAATATTCCAGTGAATTATATTGCTAAATTGGCATACTTTCAGATGCAAGCTTCTCATTAATATCTAAAAACATTTCATAAGAATATGGTATATACTACTTCCACTTTCTGTACCTACTCTGAAATACCGTATTTTTCGGATTATAAAACGCACCGGAGTATAAAATGCACCTTAGTTTTTGGGAAGGAAAATAAGAAAAAAGCTGATTGGCAGCTGGATCAGCCTCCCGTAATACCCCCAATCAGCTGTTCCCAGAGGTGAACAGGTTCCTTGGTTGTGAGCTCTGTGCTTTGCTTTTTTTTTGCTTTTTTTTCTGCCTCTGAAACTTCTGAAACTCTGTTTCAGAAAAAAACTTTCTTTTCTGCCTCTGAAAGCCTCCGAAACAGAGCTTCAGAAAAAAAGCCTCTGAAGCTCTGTTTGGGGGCTGCTTTTCTGAAGCTTTGTTTCTGATGCTTTTTTCAGCCTCTGAAACCTCCATTTGAGAAGCTGGGTGGGGCTACATTTGGAGTATAAGACACACCCAGATTTTCACCCTTTTTGGGGGGGGGGGAAGGTGCGTCTTATACTCCGAATAATATGGTAGTCTGGGGCTATTGTCAAAGTCCTTTTCCCCCTTTTTTGTTCCTGGAGGCTATCAGAGTTAAAGTTATGTAAGTTAAAGTTTAGTTGAATAAGATGAATTATTTTTTATTCATCTATCATTTCCCATGTTATCTTCTGAAGGGATAGTACTATTTCTTGAGCATGTCTGGGATGCGGAGACGTTGTCTTGGATTCATAATTACTGCTGAATAGAAGCTGTAGCCAGGATAACTTCTGCTCAGTTGTGACTGATGTGTCAATTGTGGCCCTTTCTGGAATAGAAAGCTCTGGCTACAGTGATTCATACTTTTATCACCATGCAGTTAGACTTTTGCAATCTACTCAGCATGGGGGCTACTTCTGAAGGTCGCTTGAAGACTACAGGAGGCAAAGTGCAGTGGCCCACTTGCTAACTCTTGCTATTTCTAAAACTATGAAACTTATTTTTCAGACTTGGTTGATTAGCCATAGATTTAAATGTTTTTTGACTTTTTTGTTTTATTGTACTGTATTTTATAACAAAATTACAAAAAAAAAAAATCAAAAACGCAAAACATAACCAGTGAAATAAAGATAGTACTGCATTGAAAAAGCTACCATGTTTCTCCGAAAATAAGACTCGGTCTTATTTTCCTTTGGGTGCCAAAATAAGCACCCTTATTTTCGGGGACGTCTTGCCTGCTTACCTTAGGACCACCGCAGCCAGGCCTCCCACGCCCTACTTGTTGCTCTGCTGCCCGACTTCTCCAGCCACTTGCAGTTGTTCGTGACCAGTTGCTACGAGGAGTCTGGCCAGTAGGAGGCATGTTGCGCCATTTCACATGCAAGTGGCAGCACCAGTATGATGAGCCTTGCAGTGTTCTACCACAAGCAGTGGCACTGACACAGTGAGCCTCGCGGTGTATTTGTTGCGAGTGGAAGCACTGGTGCGATGTTCCTCATGGCAAACTGCCATAAGCGGCAGCACTGGCACAACAAGCCTTGCAGTGTCTGGCTGCAAGTAGCTGCAAACGATTGCAGAAGTAGTCAGGCAGCAGCACTACAGGTGTCGGGGCATGGGAGGCCTAGCTGCGGTGGTCCTAAGGTAAGCAGGTGCACGTGGGGCAGCTTCACCCCCTGACCCCTGTCCTAGCTTGATTTTTATGCATGCGCCTCGTCCCACCTCGTGGAACCAGATGGTGGGTGGGGTTTAACTAGGGCTTATTTTGGGGGTAGGGTTTATATTAGGTGCAGGCATGAAAATTGGGCTAGGGCTTGTTTTTGGGATCGGTGGTATTTTGGGGGAAACATGGTAAATAAAAACAAAAGAATCAGAAGAATTTTTTTTTAAAAAAACCAAGCATATAATAAGGTAGAAATCACTGGTTTACAAGAATTACTTTATAATGATGTATTGTTATCAAATAGTTTTGACTTAAAACAGTTGTAAATGGCTTGCAATCAAAACTTCAAGTTATCTACTTCTACTGGAATTGACCTATCCAAAGAGATCCTCCCGGGGGTGAGGGTGGCTAAGGCTAATAAGTATTGCTTTTTAATCACAACATCTACATTCTGGAACAATATGGAAATTTATTGGGTCCATCAATGAAGGCCTCTGGAAACCAGTGAAACTGAACTTTTTCATTCGGTTTTTGGAATATTATTCACCACCATTATTTCTATTTTGTACTGTTATTGCTGACTTTTATATTCTCAATTCTATATGGCCGTGATGGTTAGTCTATGGCACGCGTGCCAGAGCTGGCACACAGAGCCCTCTGTGGGCATATGCGCTGTCGCCAATTGCTCTTCCGGGCTCCAGCGCACACGTGTGCTCCAGTTTCGGCACTCAGTGTCAAAAAAATTAACCACTGCTATATGGTATGAACATTTAAGAAGTAATAACATTAATCATGCAAGGATTGCAAGGGGCCATGGACATCATCTAATCACCTTTGTAATTTAAGGCCACTCTTTCCTGCCCTGTCTTCTGAACAATTATGAGTGCTGAATAAAAAAGCTTGTCTTATCTCCCCATGGTTGTTGTGTTTCTAAGCTAAACATATCCATCATCTGCAACATTTTCTCATAACTTTTTCTTTCTAGCCTCTTATGGTTCCTTTTCTATGAAACATTCCATTTTGGCAATGCTCTTCCTAAAATACAATGATCAAAACAGGATGCAACTTTCTTGGTACCATCTGACCAATGATTTGTTCCCTTTTGACTTCGGTTGGTGTATCTTAGAATAACATTCGCTTTTCGGGGCAAGCCGCATTATATTATTGGCTCATATTAAGCATGTAATTCACAAACACCCTTACTTTTTTTTTTTTACAAGTTCTGTTGTGTGATTATTCCTCATCTTTCCTAAATTTCATTTTATTTTCTTTTATTTTCATTTTACCTTATTGCAATACATCTTGGTTTTGTCATTGTTCCAGTTTGTAAATATTTATCTTAATACTGATACTGTCTTCTAAGATGTTCATTATTATTTCTATATTTGTATTATATAAATAGTTGATACATTTCAAGTCCCTCTTCCAAGATATTTAACACAGGAGATCTATGGTATGTCACTCAACAGTTTCTTCCAGCTGAATGCAGAGTCGTTGACTTATTTTTTGAGGGGATAGTTTTTCAGCCAGTTCTGTATCCAATTGTTAAGCAGTTAGTTTATATTTTTCAATCTTTTTTAGTAGAATCCCCTAGAAGAGTTTTGAGTGCTTTGCTGAAGTCAAGGTATCTTGTATTGTATTTTCCACATCAATGTCTTCCACATTCATGGTCAGCTGATACCCTATTAAATAAGTTCAGATTGATTTGGCATGATATATTCTTGATAAATCCATGGCAAGTTCACCAAATGATTTATTTTCTAATTGATCACAGACGAGTTTCTAATGGATCCTTAAATTTCTCTTGATACCTGAAACTGATCAGTTTGTATATGGAGCTTCTTTTTTTCGTCTTTTAAACATTTGGTTTTCTTCAGTGTTTTTGTGCTATACCCATCCTCTATAATTTCTCTGAATATTCTGGACAGGGTCTCTTGGAAGAAGCTTCTTCAGAACTATCAGATGTAATTGAACTTATGTTCACTCTGATAAATTTACATTCATTCATAATAAAAAGGTTTAAAGTTTTTCCCTGTCCAGTCGTGACCAATTCAAGGGAGTGGTGCTCATGTCTGATTGTCAGCCAAGGAAGCCTGTATTGTCTGAGCGACATTTCAATGTGGCCAGCATGAAAATATGGAACATAGTAATCTTCCTGCCAAAGTGGTATCTATTTATCTACTCACAGTTGCATGATTTCTAACTGTTAGATTGGCAGGAGCTGGTGTGAGTAATGGGAACTCACCTGTTGCACAGCACTTGAATTTTGACTCAGGCTGTCAGTGTCGCAGCTGACAACTGCTAAGACATCACACCGCCCCATCTTTCATGATAGCCAGGTACTTCCTAATCATCTATTTAATTCAAGTTTCATTCCCTCCTTTTGCTTATGCCCAATCAAACCCATTTCCAGTTTGGGGAGCAGGAAAGAAACAGAAGGTTTTGTACTTTTCCCTCTTGCTGTCATCTGTTGCTATAAAATAATTTTGCTTGTAGTAGCAGGTTCTCCCTTTTTTTTCTTTTACAACAATACAGAAAAAAGGCATTTTTGTGTTTTTAGAATCTTTTGCAATTCGTAATTCTTTTGGTCTTTTTATCTTTCTGCAGATAAAAGCTATATTGGCTTCTTAAAATGCCCTCAATTTTTTTATTAGAAAATTTTGTCAACAAAACATTTTTTCAGAATTGTTGTAGGTACAGTTTCTATAGGTTTGCTCATTCTAAATCTATTGCCAATTTATTTAGATAAAACTTTGTTGTACTGTACAGTTTTCAGACATGAGCAAAGGCTTATATTCTGTTTTTGTGAACATGGGAAGAAAAGATAGCAAGCTACATGATATATTATTACTATTTGTTAAATTTATTTGCTGCCAATCATTGTGGCTTCTTGTGATTTAAATTACATTTGAAAATAGCAACCAACTAAAAATTGCTAACTAAAAAACAATAACACAGAAGAAAAAGAGATTCATGAATTTAAAGCTTACACCAGCTGATTAATGCACAAAACATAATTTGTTTGGGATTATGCCTCGTTCTACTGTTAAGATATTATGGTAGAATATAGCTTGCCATGTCTTCTGTCTTACAAGTATAGAAACATTTTCAAAACAGATTTCCAGACGTATTCATGTAGAAAACTATCCAAAACTATTTTTGTTTTTGAACTTACAGGCCTATCCTTATGGTTCTCCAGCTTTATTAATTCAGCAACAAGTTCCTGTAGGATACCAGCCAACTTATAATTACCAGGTTTGAGTATATTTCAGATTTAGTATCCAAAAATTAAATGTTAAGTTTTATCTGAACTAAAGATGTTTTAATACGGCTTTCAGATCATGCCACTTAATACTTTGAAATGTAGTTGTAGGAATAACTAAGCAAGAAGATAATATATGCTGGATAGTAGTAGGTCTTGATAAATATCAAATTGTGTTTACTCTCAGCTGTGAGCTTTTTGTTACTAAACTGCAGTAATCCAAATTCCAAAGAGGAAAAAATAATAAGGGCACTTATACATTGCACCTGTCAGCAATTGTGGGGACTTTTAAACTACCTAAAAGTACTTATATAATATTAAACAAAGTTAGACATTGGTACTTTAAGATTGTCTACTCCTGATTCCATATAAGAGCATATATTTCTCAAGAGATGCAATATATAAAATGCAGAAAAGCAAACTTTCAATTGCTGTTCCCTTTGTCTGGATCAGGGGTATCAAACTCATGGAGGCATCATGTGACGTATCAGGACTTTTTCCTCCTTCGCTAAACTGGATGGGGCAGGGCCAGCATGTGACGTATCTGGCCCACAAGTTTGACACCCCTGGTCTGGATCATTTGACCTGAGCATTTCATCTGATATCTGTCCAGCCCCAATGCTGCTGGGTTTTAGGAAGGCTGTAAACACTTGGATTGGGGGAAGGAGATATATTACAGGCTTTTCCGTCTTGCAATAGAGTCAAATTTGTTAAGGAATTACTCAGTAAATGATTATATTGGAGTATATTGTAGGTTCTTTTTTTCTTATGTATTTAACCTTATTTACAAAGAAAAATATGCAAGCTGCTCAGAGTTGGTATATTTCAGAGCAGGAAATAAGCCTGACAAGCAAGCATATTTTATCAATCAAATAACCGAAACTTGATCATCCATCTTATTATTCCTGTGTTTTGAGTTGTGTAAACTTTGTTGCTTAGCTTAGATTCCTTGCTTTAAATTTGGAAGGCAGACATTCATATTTCTAAAAATTAATATTCAAAGATGTCCCAGAGGTGCTTTTTTCAAAAAAACAACAGGACTTTCTTAGTTTTTTGTTTTAAGATTTTTCACTTTTCGTCCAAGAAGCTTCTTCAGTTATTTAGCAAAACACTTTCAAACAAAGAAAATCCAGTTGCCTTTTGAAAAAAGCACCTTTGTGATAACCATGACCTGGATGATTGAGAATCTCCATAGACATGGTGGCGCAGTGGTTAGAATGCAGTACTGTAGGGTACTTCAGATGACTGCTGGCTGCCAAAAACTTGGCAGTTTGATTCTCACTGGCTCAAGGTTAACTCAGCCTTCCATCCTGAGGCAGTAAAATGGTCAGTAAAATGAGGACCCAGATTGTCGGTAAGGAGCCAGATGCTGACTCTGTAAACTGCTTAGAGAGGGCTGTAAAGAACTGAAGCAGTATATAATCCTAAGTGCTATTGCTACTCAAAGATGCATTATTGTATTTCTATTATTTTATCAAGCAAGTTAAATGCTATGTTCTGCTAAAAGTCTGTTAATAGTTTCTTCACTTACTGTTTTTTTAAGATTCCACCACAGTGGCCTCCTGGAGAACCAAGAAATTACATCGTGCCAGTAAGTCACATTTCTTGTAGTTATTTAAATTCAGTGGCTAATATTTACAAATCAAAGGTGACCTGCCATCCTTATTTATGTACTAGTCACTGACTGATTATTTTTATATTGGCATATCTGTTAATTTTACATGAACATAATTTCTCTGGCACTTCATTAAATAGTGCCTTCAAGGTGTTTTTGAAATTTAGCAGAAACAGTCAAAGAAGGGCCTCCAAAAATTATCTAAATATCTGGCAGGTGTACTTGGAAGTAACACTTAAAGTAGTCTGCACCAGACTCTGTAGCACTTTAAAAATTGATGCTAATCTTTTAAGTTTGTTAGAAAATTCCATTTTATTATATAGAAATAGTAGCGGAGGATTGTTACATAGCCATACAGATGGAAGTACAGTGTACAGTCACCATAGGCTTGCTGCTTAACGGTTTCAACCTCATATGAAACTCCTCAGAACATAAAGGAACCATAGATGCAAACTAAACACTGCCATCTACTGCCTGAATAATTCTGTAATTGTTGCAATATAACATACATGTATTCCAACACCTCCACTCAACAAGTACTCTTTTTTTTTTATTTAAAAAGTTTTACAAATACATTTTCACCCCAATTTCCCCCCCCAAACCCTCCCTAACCCTCCCCTCCTCCCATGACTTCCTCAAGATGAAATCCAAATCAAAATCACATTTTATAATACTATAACCCCTAACTATTCCACCCCGTGTACTATTCATTTCTTCGTAAATAACATTCAATTATTATATCCCTTTGTAATACATTCAGCTAAAAGCTATCTGATATTTCCTAGTTTGATATTTATTCTGCACATAATCTATCCATTTCATATTATATCATACTTTACCACCCTTCTAATCTCCCCCCCTGTGTACAATACATTTCTACATAACATTGAACTAAAAGCTATCTGATACTTCCTAGTTTGTCAACAAGTACTCTTTATAATAGTCCCATTTCAGCTCTTAGTTCTTTTTCTTACTTCTTATAATTCTTCTTGTCCTTTTTCTTCCTCTTCTTTTTGTCCTAGTTGTCTATAAAGCTGCTGCTGCTACTACTTAGGCTTTGGCTCTCCAAAGAGCAGGCACTGGAGTTGCTGGGGCTCTGGTGGCTGCAGTCGCTTTTGCATTCTTCTTCCCATCTCTGGGTTTTAATGCGTTGTGAGCAACATAAGGAAGACATCTGAATCATAAAGAATCTATATTGGCATCAGGTAGCAAATGAGAGACTAGGCCAAAAATACTCAGATGATACAGAAGTACAAAGAGGGGCCAGACAGGGCTGTATTCTGTCTCCACTGTTATTTAATAACTACTCTGAGTCAATTTTCAGCGAAGCATTGGAAAACATCAATACTGGCCTCAAAGTAAACGGTGTTTGGATCAACAATTTAAGATATGCTGATGATACAGTTCTGTTTGCCAGTAAGCATTAAGACCCTCAGCTCCTCATCAACAGAGTCACAGAAATATCTAAAAAAATACGGCTTGAAGTTTAACACCTCAAAAACCAAGATGATGGTCGTCAGTAAACTACCCATTAATTTACCACCGATAAATTCAGAAGGAATACCACTAGAAAAAGTTGAAAGGATCACGTACCTCGGTTCTAATTTACATGAAAGCTGGGACATGACCACTGAAGTAAAGAGAAGAATAGAGAAAGTTCAAACAGCATTCTTCAAAATGAAAAAGGTCTTCTGCAGTCATGACATAAGCCTAAGACTGAAAATGAGGCTTGTCAGATGTTACATTTTTTCTATACTGCTCTATGGAGTAGAGAATTGGTCTCTTGACAGAAAGCCACTTGAGACTAGAAGCATTTGAAATGTGGATTTACAGATGACTGTTACGTATAAGCTAAGTTGACAAAATCAGAAAGGAGGAGGTGGTAAGCCACCTGGGAAAGCAAAGGGAAAGGGAAAGATTGAAGGCAAACGAGGTCCAGGCAGAAGAACAACATCATGGCTTCAAAATCTAAGGGACTGGTTTGGACAAAACTCACTTTTTCGTGTGACTGTTGATAAAAATACGATCGCCAACATTGATGGATATGGCACAAGAAGAAGAGCAACATAAGACAGATGTTTGGCTAGGATGCCTTTATTGATTCTGGTGTATTTCCTGATTGAAACTTCTTGTGGCCCAGTGCCAGCCCTTCTTTTATTCTACTTGGATAGTGTTTCTCAGTTAATTTCTTTATTATGTTAGGACTTCTGTGTCCAAGGTGTTTGTGCCATGTGTGAATGCAATTTGAAGGTTTTTTTCTCTTTGGCAGTATTAGCTACCTGATTGTAGTTCAGCTAATAAAGTTTATCTATAATTTTAGCCTTTGCAAGTAAGATATCCCCTTTTGTGATAACAACTGTCCTTTTTAAAGATCACTACATTGCCTTGTTTTGTGAGCTTCTACTCTGACAAAAGATTAGTTTCAAGAGGAGTGACATATAGTACATTTTTTACCAGTATTTTTCTGGTGACACTCTGAGAAATAGGATAGTAAAGAAAACCATCTTCTATTCTTTCTGATTTCATTATTTGCCCATTACCTGTGGTGATTGTTTCTGTTTTAAGGTGAGTAAAGAAATACTTGTCATTTGTCATGTGATCCATAGCTCCTGAATCAACACACCGTGCTTGCAAAGATGAAGTGCAACTTTTGGATTGAAAAATATGTACATTATCTGAAGAAAAATCAGTTTCTTCCTTCACACTTGGCTTTTTGTAATTTTTACATTCTAGCATTCGAGATTCTGCAATCTACTTTTAAGTGACTCTTGCTTACAAAGCATTTGCATGTTTCTTGCTTCATGTAACTTTTTATTCCTATTTTTCATTTTAAAAACATACTCTGTGACAGAAGCACCGTCACTATTAATGCTTTCTGTTTTAGGCTTACATTCATCTTGCCATTAACATATTCCCATCTGAAAAAAGGAGGTATAGAAATTGTAATTTTAGTTGAAAGGACTAGAAACTGTTTAAATTTGTTAACTGGCCAAATATTTTGTTCAGCAAAAATACATTGTATGTTTGTCTGTGTGTTTGTATAAAAACTTAAAAAAAAAAAAAACATATTCCCATCTGGACGTACAATCAAGCACTGACAGGCGTTTCATAGCTTTCTGTTAAACCGTTAAGTAATAGTACTGCGACAGGAAAACCTTTTATTTTTTATATATATCTCAGATGTTCAACCATTTCCAAGGTATACTTTATGTAATCCTGCATATCCTCCTTGCCTTTTATCAGCTTGGTTTGGTATAGCTTTCTAATCAAATAGTTCGTTGCTTAGATTAACTCTTTCATGCACCTTTTGTAATCCTTTAAACATTTCTTTAGCAGTTTCACATTTATGTGTATGAATGATTTGATCATCTTCTAAGCTGAGAGATTGTTCTCTGAGCTTTGTCTATCCACTCATCTGAAGGGTGTTCTGACCTATTCATTTATACATTTTATTAGCAGCATTTTCATTAATTTCCAAGACTGGCAATTCTGGTTTGTCAGATTTGCAAATGAAATCTTTGTTTCGGCTTTGTTACTGGCCATTTTCTTTATTTTGTCATAGTCGTCTTGCTGTTGCTGTTTCTTGCACTTATTTATTGTAGGTGGCTATGACTGGTCTACTCTGTTCTGTGCTAAACTTTGTATTTCTCCTCTAATTTGGATTTATACTGGGCTTATCTCTAGTTTTATACTGATTTCATCTCTGGTTTACCTGGGTTGAACCTGGTTTACCTAGGTCCATAATCTGCTAGAAAATTATGTTTTATTCTATAGAAATAGTAGCAGAAGATTATTATGTAGCCATACAGATTGGCAGCAGAAGATGGTTATATAGCCATACAGATAAAAATAAAGTGTACAGGGTACAGTCACCGTGGGTCTTGTTCTTAACAGTTTCAACTGTCACAGGAAACTCCTCAGAACATAAAGGGAATCATAGATTATAACCATAGATGCAAACTAAACACTGCCATCTACTGGCTGAATATAATGCAATACAAAATACATTCTAACATGTATTCCAACAAAGTTGCTGCTAGAAATGAACTTATCTATTGAAGCATTGGTATACATGATTAATTTAACTTGTTTCATTATAAATGAATGAAGCCACAATTTCCAAGATGCTGTCTACTATTTTTCGGTAGGTCAAAATGCTATATGTCTACCAAATACAGTGGTACCTTGGTACTCATCGTTAATTGGTTCCGGGAGGCACAATAAGAACCCAAAATGATGAGTATCAAACAAATTTTTCCCATAGGGAATAATGTAGTGAGTCACAAGGCAGCTGACAGCGACAAATATTAGCTTGTGTGTTGTGTAGCAAATACTGGGACAATTTTTTTTTGTCAAAATACGTTGAGTACCAAATTAGACGAGTTTCAAAGCTGTTGGATACCAAGGTACCACTGTATAAGCAAATAATAAATAAATAAATGCTATAATTGAGCTTTATGTATCTAACTTGCAATATTGAGTTTTTTCTGTAATTTCTATTTCAGACTTTGATCAGTTCATAGAATGGATAGCATCCATTTCTATTAACTCTTTTAAATTTTACACAGGCATACACTACAGTGAATTATGGTAGTGAAATGGATGTTGGAACTGACCAAGCAGAGTGTTCTATGACTGACACTGCACAGTCATGTGCAAACAGTCCACAAAAGGTATAATGATTTATTTTACATAAATATTATTTTCATAAAGAATAATTAAACCTTGGATGTATAATAAATGAAAAGCAAGAGTAAAATATAAATAGTACAGGTAGCCTTTATTTGCTGACCACAATTGGGATTTACAGGTGAAACTCGAAAAATTAGAATATCGTGCAAAGTTCATTTATTTCAGTAATGCAACTTAAAAGGTGAAACTAATATATGAGATAGACTCATTACATGCAAAGCATGTATGATTTATCATACATGCTTTGTACTCACCTGATATCAGATCACCGGATTACCTGATATCCTACATTGTGACCACTTTAGTTAGTGACAAAATTGTACAGGTGAAACTTGAAAAATTAGAATATTGTGCAAAAGTTCATTTATTTCAGTAATGCAACTTAAAAGGTGAAACTAATATATGAGATAGACTCATTACATGCAAAGCGAGATAGTTCAAGCCTTGATTTGTCATCCTTTTGATGATTATGGCTTACAGCTCATGAAAACCCCAAATTCACAATCTCAGAAAATTAGAATATTACATGAAATCAATAAAACAAGGATTGTACATAGAACAATATCGGATCTCTGAAAAGTATAAGCATGCATATGTACTCAGTACTTGGTTAGGGCCCCTTTTGCATCAATTACTGCTTCAATGCGGTGTGGCATGGATGCTATCAGCCTGTTGCACTGCTCAGGTGTTATGGAAGACCAGGATGCTTCAATAGCGGCCTTCAGCTCTTCTGCATTGTTCGGTCTCATGTCTCTCATCTTTCTCTTGGCAATGCCCCATAGATTCTCTATGGGGTTCAGGTCAGGCGAGTTTGCTGGCCAATCAAGCACAGTAATCCCATGGTCATTGAACCAGGTTTTGGTACTTTTGGGCAGTGTGGGCAGGTGACAAATCCTGCTGGAAAATGAAGTCAGCATCCCCATAAAGCTCATCTGCGGAAGGAAGCATGAAGTGCTCCAAAATCTCCTGGTAGACGGCTGCGTTGACTCTGGACTTAATGAAACACAGTGGACCAACACCAGCAGATGACATGGTTCCCCAAATCAACACAGATTGTGGAAACTTCACACTGGACTTCAAGCATCTTACAGTGTGTGCCTCTCCATTCTTCCTCCAGACTCTGGGTCCTTGGTTTCCAAATGAGATGCAAAAGTTGCTCTCATCAGAAAAGAGGACTTTGGACCACTGAGCAACAGATCAGTTCTTTTTTTCTTTAGCCCAGGTAAGACGCTTCTGACGTTTGTTGTTCAGGAGTGGCTTGACAAGAGGAATATGACATTTGAAGTCCAGGATCCGTCTGTGTGTGGTGGCTCTTGATGCACTGACTCCAGCCTCAGTCCACTCCTTGTGAAAGTCCCCAACACTTTTGAATGGCCTTTTCTTGACAACCCTCTCCAGGCTGCGGTCATCCCTGCTGCTTGTGCACCTTTTTCTTCCACACTTTTCCCTTCCACATAACTTTCTATTAATGTGCTTTGATACAGCACTTTGGGAACACCCAACTTCTTTTGCAATTACCTTTTGAGGCTTTCCCTCCTTATGGAGGGTGTCAATGATGGTTTTCTGCACAACTCAGGTCAGCAATCTTTCCCATGATTGTGATTCCTACTGAACCAGACTGAGAGGCCATTTAAAGGCTCAGGAACCCTTTGCAGGTGTTATGGCTTAATTAGCTGATTAGAGTGGATGTTTTGAGCCTAGAATATTGAATCTTTTCACAATATTCTAATTTTCTGAGATTGTGAATTTGGGGTTTTCATGAGCTGTAAGCCATAATCATCAAAAGTGTGACAAATCAAGGCTTGAACTATCTCGCTTTGCATGTAATGAGTCTATCTCATATTAGTTTCACCTTTTAAGTTGCATTACTGAAATAAAAGAACTTTTGCACAATATTCTAATTTTTTGAGTTTCACCTGTACAATTTTGTCACTAAGTAAAGTGATCACAATGTAGGATATCAGGTGATCACAGCTGTACTTTCCAGGGTGTCAAGACTCATCCGTTTTGCACCTTTGGTTTTTGTTTGCCTCCTAACCACTCCCCACTCTTTGGAATGTTCACCTGGAGTGGGATAATTAAAAAGAATTTAATTATTGTTTTTATTTTCATTCAGTGGAGAGAAAGGGATTACCATAAACAGCACTCAATGGTGACTGAACCTGAAAGCAATGGCAGCTGTGGGAGCATAATATAAACAACCTGGTGTTTACTATCTTGTAGTCCCTTCTTCTCCAAATTTTGTGATATGGGGAGGACAGAACAAATTCCAGATATTGCCTACAGAAATTGCTTGGCTTTATTTGTCTCCACCACAGTTAAGAGATTAGGGATGAAAGAATTACAAGAGAGTACCCAGACATACAACTGGGACTACACCAGTTTGAATGTGTAATGCATTAGCAGCTGCCAGCACCAGCACAATGCTTTCTTTCTTTCTTTCTTTTGGTCAAGTTCTTTATTTTATATTACTTCTACATATCAATGTGTGAACAGTATGACACCTGGGTATCATACATTTTGGTACAAGTAAACATAGTATTACTCATGGTTACTACATTTATCTCGCTTATATGTTTCTAACAATAATACACATTTATATTCGGTTATAGTCTTATATTATTTCATATTGTTTAAACATACCTGATAACTACCGCCAGTTAATTTCTAAACTTCTCTCTTATTACATTTATCATGTTATGTTAAAATGTATGTACTGTTATTCCCCTCTTATTTCTGTCTCTATTCTAACTTTTATTCATGTAACTGTATTAAAAGACATTTCTTTTCTGTCTTTCATCTTTCGCCTGCTTTATTATTCGTGTTTCCCATATTTAACTCTTTACATCTATTTATATTAAAATTTCATCATTCTTTCATTGTTCAGTGTTTCAATGTACAATTCTAATACCAATCACAATATAATTTAAACTTGTAGGATAGATTTATTCATACTACTTCCATTCATCCAATCTATGTAATTCTGCTATTAATACGCATGCTTGTATTAAAATATATTCTTTCGTTATGTAATTACTCATTATTTGATTTTATTATTTTACTGCTAATCATTATATTATTTAGGCATATTTAATAGTACCATCATTCAATCTCTAATTTTCCCATTTTTGATGCTTAGTTCTTATTCATAATTCCCATATTTCACTTCATATCTATTTGTATTAAAATATCATAGTACGTACAAAATAATCATCCAGTCTATATAATTCTAATGTTAATACACATTTTTATTAAAATACGTTCTTGAACAAACTTTTTTCTCTTTTTTTCTATCCATCGTCTCTTGTCCGCAACAGTACTTTAAATCTTATTTTTATGACTTTCCTCCCATATTCTTCTCTTAAATCTTTGTCTCTATCTACGTCTACGTCTGCATCCTGACTGTTCAATCTAACTTTTTCTCCCCTCCCTACTCTCTTCCACTGTCTAATTTTAAAACTATCTGATCTAACCCCTATCTCCTTTCCCAAAATATCTTCCTGTTTCTCCCATTCTCTTTTTAAATCTTTTGAAATATTTTTCCCCTGTTTGAATTCCTTAGTCGTTATTAATTTTGATGATATCTCCTCGTTATCTTCTTTTCATAGTTTCTCGGTTCTGCTTTTCCCTCCATTCCTTCTGCTGGTTCCTTCCTTTCCTGAGTGTCCTGGTCTTTGCTCATTGTCCCTTGGATAATATTTTCCAGCTTTTGGTCTATGCTATCCAATAATTCCATAATCATCTTATGTTGTTTCTGTATAAAATCCTTAATCTTTGGAACATCAGCTCCATCTTTTTTAAAATTCCACTCATTTCCTCCTTGTGTTGCGTCTTATCTTGTTTTAGTAGATGCCACTTTTGGTCAAGAGTCCAAGAACCATTTATTTAAATCTGAGCTTACACAAATCACAATTCTTTATGCCCCATAGATAATCAGTCAGATTTAAATATACCAAGGGATTATCCAAGCCTCCTCAAATCACTTTTATGAATTCAATCATATAATGTAACATTCAGGGGTCTTTTTAATTAAAAATCTTCCTTGTTCTCATATTTAAATATTTAAATCTCCAGTGGTTTTAGGGTAGATGAATGTAATCCAATAAGTATTTCACAGTCCTTCAAATGATTATTCCCAGTCTTGTATATTTTTCTCTCATCAGCAGATGGCGCTGTCTACTTCACAATGTTTTACTGTCAAGTCTGATTTTAATTGTTTTAAATTATAATTCAAGTAAAAAATCAGTATTAATTTTTTAAATCCATAGTTCCAGCATTTTAAAATGTCTTTTCAGTACCATGTCTTCTCATCTGGAGAGTCCAATTTTCTGCATTTTTAAAGAAAAATTTTTTTCCTCTCTAATTCTTCTCCTTCCGGTTTAGTAAATTTTCAAAGTGCTTATTTGCCACTTTGACAGATAGTTCTAAATAAATAGTCCCCCTGGATTTCCTTGGGGTCAAGTTTTAATAAAAGAATATCCTCTCACCCAGTTAACATACTGTTCACTAAGGTCCGCTCCTGCACAAAGCTTAGATGGTCGTGAGCTGCCTCAGCTTCGTGGCAACCATCTTTGGGCTGCCTCTTCTCGTGGCTGAGAGGGAAAAAAAGCCCCAGGTCAGGCAGGAGAGATGCAGCTCTCCTCGACATCTCAGAGTGCCCCTCTGCTTCTCTGCCCATACAGGGCAGCATTGGCTCCTTTCAGAGCCCACCAATGGGGAGAACTCAGCACGGGCATGCGGAGATATGCTTCCCATGTCTGATCTCACCCTAACATCAGCTGGAAGCCAGCACATTGCTTTCTATGTATCAGGTACCCCATGTACCCCATTTTTCGGCCTATAAGACACTCAAAAGTATAAGACGCACCTAGCTTTTTGGGAGGAAAAAGGAGGGGGGGCTCCTGGAATACCACCTATCAGTTGTTACAGGCTGCAGGGATCACTGCTGCTGCCACCTATCACCGCCACCTGGAAAAAGCCAAAAATGGGATATGCGGAGGCCAAAAATGGGGTGCGTAGAGGTGGCGGCAGCAGTGATGGGTGGCGACGGTGGCAACCCCTGCAGCCTGGAACAGCTGATAGGTGGTATTCCGAGAGGCCAATCCAACCACCAGTCAGCTCCTTGTGCTAAATCAGGCTGTGCTGAAGCTGACCAGGCTGTTTGCTGCAAGGAGGTAAATTGCTGCGAGGCAGAGGCTGGCCGGTGGGTGGGCGGGGCTTCAGCAACGTTCACTGTATAAGACACACAGACATTCCACTTTCTTTTTTGGGGGGAAGTGTATCTTATACACCGAAAAATACGGTATATTCCCCATTGTATGCTGCTTACTGACTGTAATGGTGATCATGTGACTAAGAAACAGTGACAGTGACTTAATGAATGAGACAATTGGCAAGCAAGGACTATCTGTAGTGTGTGTGCATTGCTTTTTTTCTTGGTGTCTTGTGTGTAGAGATTATAAACCGATATTCCAAAACATTAGAAGATCTGTTACATCTGTCAACATTTATATTTGCTAAAAAGCCTATAAATGGCCAGTTGCTAAAGCATGAGTTGACAATTTGTGTCCATATATGAATCCCCTACATAATGTTTATGACTATCCAGGACTCAAAATTTCATGTTTAAATTCAGTGTCAAATGCCCAACTTTCTGTAGTGCAGTTTTGTTTTGTTATTCTTTTTCAAAGGGTATAAATGGGAGCAAGATACCTCTTGAAGACAATTTTTAAAATGTCCATCCTTCAAACCTCTGACCTGATATTAACTGACTGAAATTTGGCTGTTTTGTAATCAGATTTAGATTCATACATACAGGGCTTTCAAGCAATGAAAATGGAAGCAGGTGAGGAGACTGAGGTTATCTCTTTATACAACATTAGTTCAGGAATTAGAAAACATCTAACACAATATTCACAATATATTAATAAAGTTTAATTGTTTTAGAAATCTGTGGATCGCAGCATACAGACAGTAGTATCGTGTCTATGTAATCCAGATAATCGGTTGAGGAACAATATTGTAACTCAAGAGGACTATCTTAAGGTATCAATAAAACTGTAAGATAAGACCACTTAAGAGATCTGTTACTAGGAATTATTGGAGATCATATTTACAGGGATAGTATGTATGGGAAATATTCTGACTCCAGATTTGACAGAGATGGCTACAGCTAAGTACCCACCTCCTTTATAGATTTATTGTTGCATTTTAATTTGGTATTCAAATTCTGTTTACACTGTTTTGATGATGGAAATTTGACAGCAGCTTCACACATCACAAAGAAGCTATAATAGAGAATGCATAAGTAAATTCTACATTTACTTTCTACACTGCAGAATAAATGAATAAATAATGAATATATTGTAGTCATAGACCAGAACACAGTTTAGCCCAATTTAATCTAAAATATATATTTTTATTTTTATTTTATTATGTTTTAGATCAGTTTTAAATATCTGATTGGTATTTGATACCTAAATAACAATCTAATAAATTATGAAAATAGCAGAAAGGTAGTCTTATACCTACAACTCAACCAAGTGTGTAGAATTAATGGCAGAGATAATTCCTTTTTTAAATTTAAAAACAGAAAAAAAGTCACTTTATTAACATAAGGAATCCTATTTTAGAGAAAGATTTTACATCAATAATCTTTTTTCCTCAGTGCCTTCTAAAAGGAGTGATTTTTAATATTTAATACTATTTACTTGAACCTGTACAATGGACAAAATGCTTTTCGAGAGGAAGTTTATAAAAACCACTGTATAAAAACCACTAAATAATGTGAATAAAATATTTGTAATTGATAATTATTTGTTACCTTGCTAAATTGTCCCTAAGTACAGAAAGAAACTACACAAATAGCTTGTTTACTTCCAGGGTTTTCTTAAATTGGTTTGTTCCTTGGTCCAAGAGCTTTATTTTCAGAAGTAAATAATAAGACATTTTAATTTGAATCTGGCTGCACTTTAATTTATCTTCTTTAATCTTCATTTGTAGGAGAAGAGAGCACATCATTTTAGAAGAAGCAGAGCTGTTCTTAAAACTGTTTGACTCAACAATAGATATAGAAAACCTGAAATATTCATGTTTGTCATTTGTAAAGGTAGAAAAACGTGCAGTTTAATATTGGTGACAAAACATGGGCTACAATTATGTGGCCCTACTGGCAAAAGTTATTTGAAGTTGGAGTTCATTTGAAGTTTGTATGTGATATGTTTCTCTATGTTTGAATTTGTTATTTATTTCTAGACATATTTGTATAATTTATCTAGTCTAGATTTTTCTGCATTATAATTCCTAACCAGAAAATTTAATGTTTAACAGTTGGAATTCTTGAAAGTTTCTGAATATTGGGTTGTGCTTTTAAGCTTTAAAATACATTTTACTGCATGTTGATACTTGTTTCTAACATTTTAACTTTCTCCCAGCTCACACTTAAAATAGGAGAATCTTTTTTTGCAAGAGGTATTTTTAAAACTGTACTTGAATCAGGTGATTAAACAGACATCCAGTTGCATATCAATTACTGCCACAAATACATACTCAGTACAGTACAGTATTGCCTTACATGTCCAATCAGTGGGGACTTCATTCACTAGCTGTGTGTGCTGCTTAATTATCAGTTCTGAAACTGATAGGAATAAAAGTGTACTCACGGATGTAATTAATAGTATTAACTATACTTCATGAGTTACACTTTTTTATACTAGGCCATCCTGGCTAAAATATCATAAAATTGTGGAAAGAACGAGTACTATATGATCTTGTGCTTTTTAAAACTAGTCACCAGCTTTAAATCAAAGAATTTGTAAAACTGTTTAATTATGTAGACTTTAGTTTTATATCAGTAAATTTCCACAATAAACTCTTTTGAGGAGGATTCCTTTTGTCACTGTGGTTTAGCCAGGGAGACTTATAACATATTTTTAAACAGTTGACCTAAATATTAACATTGCTTGTTTTGATCTCACATAACGTAATTAGAATGAGACTTAAACATTGAGAAAGTAGTTTTGTTATAAACATTCAAATAGCCTTAAATTGAATTTATGTCTACAAAGAAAAGTATTAAGATTGCATTTATGTACCTTTTGGTAAAATCATACTAGTTTTGCATGGTTACGTTTGAACATTTAGTGTTGCCAAGTGTAGTGTGTCTTTTACTCTCCCTCAATTTCAAGAGGGAAATCTATAAATCTATAGATAAAATAGATAAAAGCACAAATGTATCCCTTAACTTTTAGGAGATGGGACAAATAAAACTCAAGCATTTCTATTTACATTGTTACCTCTGCCTTTACAGTTTACAGTCTTGAATTTACCAAGAATGTTTTTGGCTTTCATTAACTTTAAGATGTGAAAGGAAACATCTTATCCAAGCTCACAGGGTGTTGTGGACTTCAGTCCTGCTTAGGTTAGGCCAGTGGTGAAATCCAAATTTTTTTACTACTGGTTCTGTGGGCATGGTGTGGCTTGGTGGGTAGACATGGCTTGGTGGGTATGGCAGGGGAAGGATACCGCAAAATCTCCATTCCCACCCCACTCCAGGGGAAGGATACTGCAAAATCTCCATTCCCACCCCACTCTGGGGCCAGCCAGAGGTGGTATTTGCTTATTCTCCGAACTGCTCAAAATTTTCGCTGCCGGTTCTCCAGAAACTGCTGGATTTCACCCCTGGGTTAGGCTCATATAGGAAATGGCAGGGAGATGGGATCGATATAGACTCTTCTGTCTTCCAAAAAGAAGTGAAATACACCTCATAAATGAAGAGCTCTGGAAATACATTAGTTGAATCCAGGTTATTCGGAAAATAAGCACAAAGGATAATGAAGTTTAAATGAGGGAGACAGAAATACTTTTAACAACATATAATGGGGATATCCTGCTCTCTGTTTCACTAGAAGGCATAATTTCTTCAGATTTCATGAGGCCAATCTCACTGGCAGCTTTTGTGCTCCTAAATTGAAAGCTTTATATTGTCTCAAGCAAAGTTTGAGAGTTTATACCAAAACATTATAGAAATGATGTATGGGTATATGAATTACAAGGTAATAAAAATAAATGAGATGTCCTGAAATAATTTACACAGCAATGCTGTGAATCAAATGCTTGGAAGATGAGGCTTAATGGTTGAGCCAGCTGATAGTTAACATTTATGAAATCACAGAACATTGATTGAAGAGAAGCTAGGTGGGATGCAGTAAGTAAATCATATGATTCAAATAGAAAGCTGACTATCTGAGCTGAAGCATTAAAAATGAAAATGAACTGTCTATATTACTCTATATAAAAGGATACTATGGATGAGTATTTTAATCTAGTGGTTTTGTCAGAAAAATTTGAAATTTTGCTATTTTTATAAGAATAAAGCAAAATAACAAAGGACGTGAGTTTTTCAAAACTTCATCCATGATGCTGGGAAAATTGGAAGGGGAAATTTGAAAAAAAAAATCAGAATAAGACTGTTTCCCAAAGAGGCTTTAGATAAACCAATAGGCCTATGTGAAGTGACTTGGATTTTTCTTGGTTGAATCCGGTATACTAGAAATATGACATTCTTCATTGATTTGAAGTGAAGGTATTTATAATTATCCTGTAAAGCGGGAAAAGCATTTGTGTATGAATACTTTCCCCAGCTATTGGAACTGCCTGAGGAAGTTTCAGAAAAGGTGGTCATTTTGCTAAAAAGCATTGAGGGAATGCTTTGTTGAAGGCTCTCTTGAAGTGAAGAATTGGAAACTATCTGCAAAAAATGTATTGCCAAAAATTTATATACTTTTTATATTGTAGGGGGGAAAAATTAGCTACAATAGAGGACTTGAAAGAATGCTGACTTCGATATAATAAGGACAACTTGCACGCCAAGAATTCATGTAGCATTTCTAAGAACAAGTGTAAAGGGATCGTTATGGATAGCAATGTCTATGCATAGGCAATGACACTTGGTTGCTCCAGTTAATAGATCTGCTTTATCTTATATTCTACATTATGCCCTTTCTTTTCCTTGTTCCCATCTGAGTTTGTTTTATCTGTCATCTTTGTTCTTTTGTATTTTTGTACCACTCCTTATTTTTAAATATTTTTTCACAATTTATAAGCCACACAGAGTTGCTGAGAGTCTAGGGCAACATATACACATTAATAGTAATAATAATATTAAAAGGTTTAATTTCAGGTCTGCAATAAATCACAAATGTTTTAAGATGGTTGTAGGGACTAGGGATGTTTTAAAATTAAATAAGCAATTCATTTGAAAGATGGTTCTTTCTTCTTATGTATTACAAAATTGTCAAGTGCAGGAAATGAGTTCAGACTCTTCAAATGAATATATAAGTTTATTGCAAGCTTAAGCTGGGTACAAAAATCTGAATTACTAACAGGTCAAAGCAAATTGGGATAGAGGCAATAGAATTCAAGGTGAGCTGGATTTAGATCGCTTATGGGCACGACGGGCCTAAAGAAATATATTAAACCAATTATAAAAAGATGCAACAGCAACTTTGTTAAAGTTACTGAAAATATGTGGCCCTAATTTTAAGAAGATACCTATCTGCTATAATTGTGTGTTGATTAAAGAACAAGGCAGCCATTTTAAACTTAGTATTAAACTAATCCACTTATTGAATTTGCTATTTTATCAATAATTTTAAAAAATAATTTTGGCAGAGGAAAATAAATGTCACATACTAATAACTTCGCTAATGTCATCTCTTCTATCCCTATTGCAACATAATCACTGGCCAGCAGATGGTGTGTTAGGCTAAGTATTACTAACATTTTAAAAGTACACTAATATAGGGATGGCATATTCTTTCCTGACCTAAAATACATAAGGAAAAATTTGAAGAAACCAGTATGGAAGAACTGTACATTCATTTCTAATACCATTAAACATACCTCCATAAATTCAGTATCTCACTTGACCCATACTTGAGTAAGTCAGTTTAAGGAGATGAAAGGAAACAAAGTTATTGCTTAAAATTCCTTTGTTCCCCAGGACCTTCCTCCCCATGCCTTTTAATTTTTCTTCTATGTTTTAGAACTATTTTGTTATAGGTAGCCTTGGCTAAGGTAATGTTTGGTAGATATTTTTTTAAAAAACTTGATACATATGTGTCTTGCAATATTCTTATGATAATATTTTTGACTGACTACACCAGTGAGTCCCAAAGATACTATCTTTGCTTCCTACTCAGCTCCCTGGGTCACAAGAACTAACTTCTAACATCTCACTTCCAAAAATAAATAAATTGACCCATATAGGCCTAGTAAATTAAAAAAAAAAAAAGGTTACATAGCTGCATTCAGGCTATGACTGGAAATTTCCTCATCTCAAAAAAAGACAAGTAGAGAATATTCCAAGGAGTTTCAACAAACGGAAGAAACAATCAAGTTTGCTTTTAGGTAAATGATATTTTATAGTTGATCACTCCATCATGGCAACAGTTTTGGTAATAAACCTTCCCAATGTCATTCCATTTGTAAGAAAAAAGGTAAAGTCTCTAGTTAAATAACATTGCTAACTGATCCTTGCATTAGAATTTTATATTTTAATCTTCCATTCCTCTTGGTACTTTAAATGAATAAGTACAAATAGCAGTCATGATAATTAATCAACTAATAATATAGCTATAAGAGATCTGCATTTGCTCAATAAACCTTAAAAACATATTTAATTTATATCCCACCATCATTTTTATAAACAAGGTGGCGAACATATCTAATATTTCTTCTATTTTCCCCACAACAATATCCCTGTGAGATGAGTTGGACTGAGACAATTGCTGGTCAAGGTCACCCCGCTAGCTTTCATTGCTAAGGCCAGACTTGAACTCAGTCTCTCTATTTCTAACTTCAGGTCTTAACCACTAGTCCAAACTGGCTCTCTGATTTCTGATGTTTGCATTTTGTATTAAATGCAAGTTCATCTGAAATTCCTAAAACTAGTTCAATAGTACATTTAGTTCATTATTGTGTACATTGGATTTTATATTTTGCATTCTAGGTATGTTCTCTATTGTGGATAGTAACACTTCTATTATAAGAAAATGATTCTAGCAATTATTGATCTGCTAAAGATAGGATGCCAGAATAGTTAAGGCACATTCTTTATTATTTAAAAATATAGCCCACATGCATTAATAATTAGAAAAACCTGGACGATTATTGCTTCTAAAATTCAAATACAGAACATTATGTTTATTCAGTATTATATAATAAGCTTACTGCTATATGGCGTGCTTAGAGGAGATTCTATGCTCCATCATACAATACAACCAGAAAATATAAGATGTGAATTTTACAAAATGCAAATTCCCCCAAATAAATTAACAAACCATCTCCATTTAGAAAAGAAATGTGTAAATATTTTCTTACACTGTAGCCTAGTACGGAAGTGAATATCTTAATTGAAAAATACTGGAACAAGACGGCAATAAAATCTGAAGTGCAGATTGAAAACATATTTTCTAAACATTGTTTTATGAAAAGATTTCAGCTTGTTCTCTTAGCCCAATGCTGTTGTGCAATATAAATAACCGCACCCTATACTGTTGATAGTAAAGATCAATTTATATTGATCGATTATCCATCCTTTTGTACTTAAAGTACATTTCAGATGATACATGGATTACCAGATATTTTAACTGATTTTAAATACTGTATTAGAAATAATCTTCAGGCTTTTTAAAATCCAGAGATCTGGAAATTTTAAATAAAAAGTCTGAATCCTTACTAGTCCTATGTCATTGGCAACTACTACCGGTAGCATAGTATCCATCAGATTAGATTTGAAATTGCTCCTGACTGGAGTTCTTATAACAATATATTGGAAATGCTGCATTTTCGATCTTCTCCGTAGGCTTTAACACTACTATCAAAACCTATACAATTATAGGGGCCCCCTATTGGCAGTGCATGCTGCTTTTTCACATAGCCAACTAGTCAATGAGTAGGAAAAAAATGAGGTAAAGGCTGAGAGAAAAAGTGCAAATGTGAAAAGGGAAATTCAAAGGGAGAAAAAAAATCTGAATCAAAAGTCAGAAAGTAAAATTGGAAAATGTAGGAATGTTTTCCAACTGAGGACAAAAGCCTTTTTATGCTGTTCTTTATTTTTGACAGCTTTTAATTTCTCCTGTTTTGTGCTAGATGGCAGTATAATTTACATTATTGGTTATTTGCAAGTAAGAGTAATTATTCTCAATAAGCCCCAGTGCAACTTCTTTTCTCTTGTGAGGTGACAGCAAGCAAAATCTTTAAAGTATCTCTGTCCTGTCTAGTT